AAAAAAAGGAGGACAATTTTTGGAGTGAAAATTTTGGAGAGACGAACAAATTGTTGTTGTTGCATACAACACACATCGGAATGATCGTTTCAAATGACACATTTATATCGACGCGTCAAATCGGTTATTAATATACGTATCGATTGACTGCTGTTCGCGAACTTCTTCATGTTGAATCAATTTTGTTGAGATAAACCATCCGAGTTTAACAAAACATCAGAATAACATTAATCAATCAACCGTATAATCCAATTCCAGAACAACGGGCTAAATGAACTCAAATTTCAAAACTTGAGAACGATGAAATGTGTGAACAAACGGGAACAAACGAGAGATAATAAATACACAAAGAAATTACACATGATATAACGAGCTCGTAATTTAGAAATCCTGATGATGATTAGCATTTAAGAAACAATATGGAATTCAGTTTTAGAAAGCGAAAAAATTCTGTGTGTACTGAATGAAAATGAATGTAATTACAGTTGGGAGAAGATACTCGTAGCTCATAAATTAAATATGAATTATATACACACACTTTTATGAACAAACAAACGCATAAATCAATTAAACTAAGCTCTATTATGCATTATGATACGAACATATAAGCGATTTTATATTCACAAATCACAAATATCTGATGATGATATAAATGATGATAAGTTTTCACTTATTAACACAAACACCTCAATAACGCAGAGGATGAATACATTAAGCGAACGATACATGAAAACTGGCCATTATGTGAAAACGATCACGACCAAATGCTGCTCATATTGTCAAATAATGCAGCAAAATTCAATTTCACCTATTCACTGAACTAAGCTCTACTTGGCATTCAACCTCTGCGTGACATTGTAAAATGCCGATGAAAGCAAGCAACGTTGTTACGTTCAAATCTATACAATTCATCGCACGAACCGAATGATTATAATACTAAAAAATTCCTCTCAAAATACATCAATAAGTATATAAAAGACATCACAGAACGAACGCTTCCTTCGCAAACTCGATGCGAAAAACATAAACAATACACTTTTTTCTTGGGTTTTTATCAGTTACTAAACGAACTGAACTGGTTGGGCATCTGGCATCGCATAACATGAAACAACTATATGGCAGAGATTTATTAACAATACTACTCTCAGTAGCAATGCTTTAACAATGCGTGTGGTGTATTAAATGTATAGCATAAATGTACTATCAAATAATGTGTGTGTACAGCTCAGAGAGAAGCACAAAAAAAAGATGAGTAATGCCATTTTGGCGTTTGCAAAACTGAACGTTTTTGATGGTTTTCGATGGAAAATTTTCGTCTGAACAAGTTCCGGATTTTCTCGCTCATAATCAGTATAAGAATCAGCGAGCTGAAGTAAAATTTGCGAGCTCATCATCGAATATCAGTTCTTGTTTTGGCAACCAACTCGGTTTAAATTGCCTGTGGATTCGATGTAGATGGACGAATTTCATGCTCCCTGAAACAATTTCACATGCAACAACATTGTTCATCAAAACGGTAATTTGCATCAAGTATTGCAGAAAGGTGGCAACGTATTAGTTCTATCAAACGAATATCACATAAGAAAATTTGAAACGAATAATAAATAACTATGATCATTTCAACTAATCAATTTTTCTGATATGTTAGCTTAACTGATAAAGAAGATGAGGAGAGTAAAGCCACAAACCAGTCATTGATATTTCTGAGGACAATATTCGCTAATTTACGCATACGTGCAGAGGATCGAGCATCGTTGGCGACCAGTTCCAGTAAAGGCACTCCACCTTCGTTTCGTACGTACGCACAATATTTGTCACCTATCACAAAATTCAAATCAACCGTTCACCTCGAAAATTTCCATCTCCCTCGTCCACGAATAATGGCGATCAACAACTCCAAAATCAAACAGTAACAAATTCAATTTAACTGATCTCACTCAACACCATTCACGTGAACCTATACAGAGATTTCATTCACATCAGCGATACCAAAGAATGAGTGGAAAATCAACAAACGAATATGAATTAAGTATCAGAAAATAGATACGATCAGTTGAAGTTAGATTCGCTAGTGCCCAAATGGCCCAGTGTTGACTTGCTTGAGCGTCGAACATTGGTATTAGACGTAGAATTGGCTTGAACGAACGATAATTTATGAAACGACGTGCCTCTAAATCCCAACTTTCGGTTGCCTTCAAATGATATATATGTATATATAAATAATAATTATGATGACATTAATATAATTATTATCAAACTATATTTACAAATAATAACAGTGATACTTATTATGATTGTTATTATGAAATTACACTTACAAATCAAAAGGAAACAAGCGCAAATCGAAACGAACCTTGATGATCTTCTGCATGACAACATCGCGAGACACAGAGACGCACTTCCACGCAGCTTGCCCATCACTCACCATGTGCGCCAAAACACCGGCGCTGTTATAACTTATCTCAATACCATCGACAAGCATGCCCAACAATGCACTAAATCGTTTCATCATTGATTACAAATAAATATTTAAGTCAGAATGAACAATGACCAAAACAAATACCAGAATATATTGATGTATGCGTCATTCATGAGCTGCGATCGTAACTGTTCAACTTCAGCAATATTCCCAATTAATCCCATCATATTCCGCACTAATTCAGTTTCATTTTGAAATTGTTGATAACACTGATGGAATAGGTGAAGACCGTCTGCATCCAAGAATCGTACACAATTCACTGGTGTTTCATCTTAATCATTTTATTATTATTCGTACATACTACTCATAGCATTCATTCACAATTTTAATGGCATTACTCATCTGTTTCTAAATCAAAAAACGTTAATATATTAAATACAAAATCTATACTCCATACAGAAATTCAGTCAAACTCACTGATACTGCATGAATGAATGTGCATTTAGTTCATGAACACTATCTTGAGCCACCCAAACAACGAAAACAATTGCAACATTAATCCCATTTACAAATGCTAAATAAAACCTGTAATATTCCAAAGGAAACTCCATCCGACTTCCATAACGTCGTCACAAATACCAGCTGCGTGTTT